AAATGCTGTCTCTGCAGAACATTGGCCAGGAAACCATTTCCTTCCAAGTCATAACTGTGGAGTCTGTATCCTGCCTGCCCTTCTCTCATGCAGAACAAGTGCCCACCACTATATTGCCACCTCTCCCAGTCTCGTGAGCTTCCAGAAATTGCGGCTGCCATCGATGTCGACACAGATCATTGTGGGCGGCCTCCATCTTCTGCCCATTGAGATGTGTTTCAACCAGCATCACCAGGTTGTGGTCCTGTTAAATCAACCACTCAGCATCTCGGGTCCATTGAGTGATGTTGGCATAGAGGATCTCAATCTCTTGGTGAGGATGTCTGGTTTTCTTTTGTGGCGGTTCAAAATGCCCAATTGACGTGGTCCAAAACTGAGAATGCTCCGCCCTGGACGCCCAGACCATGACGGGCACTTCTTTGTGAACTTCCGGGCAACTTCCATCGTCAGCCACCCACACCGCTTCTCCTTCAACAAGCATTGTCACATAATGACCAGAAATGAGCTCTTGCCCTTGGTGTGCAATGATTCCCCTCAAGACAAAGGTGGAATGGCCAGAGTGTCCACTCTGCGTCCTCTGAGGGCATCTGAAGGTGGGTGGCGTGTGAAGTTGATGATGCTTGACCCAAGTCTTGGTCTGAGGGCATAGGGAGTATCGTCCCACATGAAAGACAATGTGCTCCACATCACAACCAAGGCACTGTCCATTGCCCTCATTTGCCCATTCTGCCAGGAGCTGCTCAAATTGCACTTCCTCCCCCATATCAACCGGCATTCTGACGAAAAGGGGGATCGTGTCATATTCATGCCATCGTCCCTCCAAAGTGGGCATGCCAATTGCCCTGCAATCCAGTTTACCCCCAAAGCTCCCACAGGTGGACCAGAAATTCAGAGGCATCATGCTGACTCTGGGGGTTTTCCAGTCTGGCAATCACCGGCTGCAATTCAGAGGCCCAGAAAATATCTTGGATCTCATCCTGCTGAAGGATTTGCATGCACAGTTTGGTGGAAGGTCCCCAAAATTCAGCAGGGTTAGGGTGGTGAGCCCCCATCCAACACCACGTCCGGAGCACCGCATCTGCAAAGCATCTGTTGCCCTTGTTATGGATGTTAAGGGTAAGATTGGCCGCTAAGAGCTCGACAGAAGGAGGAATCTCAGGTTCCTGATCCACCGGCCGGCAGAGATGCAAGGTGCTTTGCAAGGCCAGCCTCATTTTGAGAATATGCTTCAAGGCCTCCAAACCCCAGACACGCGTCTCCACCATACCATATAGTCCCAATCCTCCCTGCACTCAGCTGGAAGGGCCTCCTTGGCCTTGGCTTGCAACACAAGCAGTCTGTCTTGAAGCCTCCCTGGGCTTGGTGTTTCATCCAGTTCAGATTCATCTATCCAAACTTCATCAGTCCGTCCTCTTTTGCCCCCACCAAGGAGGCTGCATGGTTTGCCCATTGGAGAGGGCCTCCCTTCTGCCTGGCCTTGCGAGAGACATCCCAGGGTCCCGCAGTCAGCAGGTCTGGGTGACCCCAGCCGCTCTGAGGTCCACAAGGGCGGTGCCCCAGTGATGCCCCCCCGCGTCAGCCTTGCTAAGCTTAGCTGTCTCATTGCTATCCTCTGGTCCAGTTGAGCTATCCCATGGCCACTTTGGATCAGAGGCGTCAAAATGTACCAGATCTGCATGTGATCTCAAAGGTTCGTCAAATGGCTGTCTTGGTTGCATATCTTGAGGTTCCAGGTCAGCTCCACAATCCCTGCGCATACTGTGCGGTACTGCCCAAGCTGGCTGCATGCATCGACCCCAAATCAAAATGCTTGCGAGCTTGGTCTTTTTGCCCACCTGCAAAGAAACCATGTCCGGCCCACTGTCAGGGTTACCCCGACAACTGGCCTTCACTCTTCTTGCGGCGCTTCAGCATGTTCTCAGCCAATTGCCGCTCAAGGTCCGACTTTTGGGTTTCCGTGTACAACTGGTGTCCTGTTTGGTCTCATCCTTCAGGAGCTTGGCATAGGCTTCAGATTGGGCTGACAATTGCTGTTGCTCTTTGTCAATCTGCTCCTGGACCACCTTCAGCTCATCAAGAAGAAGCTTGTACTGGTCCTTGGCATTGTCAACCCTCTTTTGCAGCCCAGCCTTCTTGTTCGAAAGCTGTCGAAGTTCACCCACTGTGGCCTTCAGCTTGGTAGTAACCTCTTTGGGCTCCTGCTTCACAGGAGTCACTAGGCTCTCAACCGCCTCCTTGACTTCTTTGGGAAGTGCTTCAAGGTGAGCCTTCAAAATCTCTTCCAGCGGCTGTAGCTCCGGCTCTGGGGTGTAGTCAATGCCAACTGATTGCAAGGCTTTTTTGACATCCTCCGACAAACTATTCCAACTCTTCTTCAACAAATCATCCACTGGGTTTCTGACTGGCTTCCGGTCCCGGCCTCCCAGGCCTGGCGGAGCTTCAGGTTTTCGGGCCCGATCCCTGCGTGGTCTTGGTGATCTCGGTGTGGGTGTGATAGTCTTGGGCTGTCCTTTTGGCCAACATATCCCCAAACATATGCCCAACATAGCCTCCAAGATGGCTCAACATAGGGCCAACATGGGCCAACATGGGGCCAACATACACCAACATAGGCCCAACCTAGGCCAACATAGGCCAACATAGGCCTAACATAGGCCGACCTAGGCCCAACATAGGCTCAACTTGGGCCCAAGATGTGCCCAACATAGACCACATGGGCTCAACTTGGCCCAACCTAGGGCCAAGATGCGCACCAGATAGCTTAACTTTGCTCAATATAGGCCCCACCAAGTCTCAAAGAGAGAGGGAACCCAGCCCTGCACATACCCAAACCCAAATAGGCCGGCGCCCGGCTGTCAGGCGTAAGCCTCATAAATCCGGGCGCCGGCCAGGACGCCCGTGGCATGCCCGGAGGGCCTTCGGTGGTAACCGAAGGTTATAGACGGTCGCGCCGGCTGCCGCCGACCCTCGGTCCCAAAACGGGGGGACCCCCAGGTCACTTCCTGTCAACAGATGCCCCTGTAATTTACAGTGTATCGTGTGTGTGAGGTATAAAAAACACTGTGTTTTACAGGGTCTATTGCGCATATCGAAGTACGACGCGGGGAAAAGGAAGAAATGCAAAAATGCTGTGTTTTTCAAGGGTGGTGTCGGTAATGCGCGCCGGGCGGACAAGCTTAATCGACATTTTGTGGGTAGAGGCCCTCCAGACGACTTACATTGCCTAACATATCCTCAACATAGGCCCAAGATAGCCAACATATCCCCAACATATGCCCAACATAGCCTCCAAGATGGCTCAACATAGGGCCAGAAACCCTGTCAGCCCAGATCCACGATCCTTCACATCCTCCACACACAAAGTATGTCCTTTTGGACCGAACCTCTTCCAACCTTGCATCTCGAAGATCTGATCGTCTATCTCGTAGATCGAGTGTAGGCACAGTCACCCAAGTGGTAGGGCGCACAATAGGGGTCCTCAAGGACGTAGTACCAGTGCCCAGGAAGATCTCCCAGCTCAAACCCGCTTGAGCCCAAATGGCTACGGCTCTTCTCTCTTTTTTCTCTCTCTCTCTCTCTCTCTCTTCTCTCTTCTCCCTCTCCCTCTCTCTTCTCTCTCTTCTCTCTCTTGTCTCTCTTCTCTCTCTTCTCTCTCTTTCCTCTCTTCTCTCTCTTCTCTCTTCTCTCTCTTCTGTCTCTCCTCTTCCCTCTCTTCTCTCCCCTCTCTTCTCTCCCCTCTCTTCTCTCTTTTCTCTCTCTCTCTCTCTCTCTTCTCTCTCTCTCTCTCT